TAGCGACAGGACTTCCTCCATTGTCCACTGGTCTTGTCCAGATAATCATTACTGATGATGATTGAATACCTACAACTTCAATGACTTGTGGTGGACCAGGTGGAACTACAATAAAATGAAATTAAACAATATGAAATCACTTTATTTCACACTTAAATAAACTCCTTTATATACTAAACCACCAAATAAATAAGGCTCAGCCGTGGTTTATACTTCACAGGCTGAGACTTATTTTATTACATAGATTTTGAGCAAAACTTCAGCAAAAATCCATTTTGTTGCCTTTTACAAAAATCGCTCGCGCTCAATCGTGGTTTATACTCTCATAAACCACACTTTTTTTGCCAATCAGAGCGCGCGTTAGAAATCACCTATATAATAGTTTTATATATATTTGCTAGATGAAAAGATAATCTACACTAGGAAAAGCACTGGAGTGTATATATAAGTGAAATGAGGGAGATGAATACATGCCCATTTAAATTGGTAAATCACAAATGTATTTGATTATTTAAAACTGATATATAATAATAATATTAAAAATAATTTCCATATAATAGTATATACAAAATAGTCATGTTAAAATATATAGAAAATATAATTTAAACTTACAGATACGAGTGAYTGATATGTTATGCTGATCACTACCAGCAACATTTGTTGCTTTACAAGTGTACGTTCCGTAATCATCGCTGCCATGGCCAGTCACCACTGTGACCTCACTACCMCTACCAATACTACTGATATTTGTGATGCGGTCACCATTTGGTTTATACCATGTCCAGGTTGGACCTGGAAGTGAGCTAGACCATTTACACCTCAGGGATATTGTGTTGCCAGTCCATGAGCTGATGYTAACCGTAGAAGATGCATTTTCAACCGTCGGTTTGTCTAAGAAAAATGAATATCTATTTTAAAAGTTAACAAGAAAGAAAACTAAGAAGCTATAAACAAGGAATCTTTTTTAATGTTTGARCATTTCAAACACTTAAGATTGTTTGAAAAAATAAAAGCTTTTCCTCAAACACCAGGATCTCAGACTTTAAATTTCTACAGCCCCGTAACCAAGGGGGGTGCACTGGGAGCAAGTGCATCCCCCCAGAGAAGCTGAAGGTCCRCTTATCTACCTTTATGTTTTTTTAAAGAAATTACATGAATCTTTATTTTAGATTTTAGATCAATTAAATGCAAAAACACAATTCATTTTGTCGAATTTATCGGCGCGAATCGTCCGGATTTTTTTTTATTTTTTCAAAACGAACTGGATTCGAACTGAATCCGTGGAGGACCTTGTATAAGGTGTAGTAATAACGTGTAATCACAAAACGGTAATAAGTGTTGTAATAAGTAATACACTGTTGTGCGTTTCATGATGTTTGCAAACCCGACTCCGACTAAATACACTGAAAAGTTAACAACTACTAATAATAAAGGCAAATAGTGGTCCCGGTAGAAGTTCTGTTTACGGCCCTGTTTTACTCACAATAGACTGTAACCATAGTTTTAGAAACAACAGGTYCTTCGTTAGGGTTGTTGATTGCCTGACATTCGTACGATCCACTTTGCATCCTGTTAATGTTCGGTAATCGTAGTTCTGCAGTCCCTAGACCTTTGCTAAGAGTAACCCCTCTTATAACGTGTACCCAAGTAACATTTGGTGTTGGAGGGCCCACCGCTRTGCAAGTAAAGCTCAAGTCTGAGTTTTCAATGACAATGGCGTTTTGATTGGGTTTTGAAGTTAWKGTTGGAGTTTCTAGAAACATAGATTAAAACATACGGTTAAATGATCAAAGACAACAAAACAATAAGAATGCAGAGTAAAGGGCGAAAAAGTGGAAGACAGAAAGTTGTTAAACCCGAAATATTAATATTAATTGGCTGTTTATCAACGGTTACTTAGTATATAGGTAATATATATTTGAATTTAATGAATATAAAATTAAGCATAGCTTTGCTYTTCTCTGAACCGGTTTATGGCTATTTTTTCAGGGCACACATCATTGATAGGATTTAAGTGATGTGGCAACAGAAAAAAAACTAAATAAAATACATACATATATAAAGACCAAACGAAATGATAAAAAAACAATTACGAAAGAACTTAAAGAAGCAAAAGTCGAAACCTAAACTGATCCAAATCCAAGCCCAAACAAAATCAAACACATACTAACAGACACAAACAATTATAACATAATTGAGCATAACGTTATTTACCTGTAACAATGAGTTGAGCTTGGCTTGTTGGCATCGAACTTAATAAACCGACAATTAAAATCAGTCTGCATATATATGTACCAGAATCAGCCAAAGTCACATTCGTGATGACCAAAGTAGCATTACCCTGCACACTCACTCGTACTGTAGGTGTTCGTAATCGAGCTGGACAAGTGTTTGAGTTGATCTTAAATCTACGTCCATCAAATGCGTCACCATAACCAATGAAAAAGCGGTCGGTCTGGTAATACCATCTTGGTGATTGTAAATCGAACTCTTTGTTAATATTGTCAACATGGTAGT